GACATCCTCCTGGTAGCTCACTGTGCATAGAAAAGAAGAAAAGTGAAAGTAAAATTGCCTGTAACAGCTCTTACTCCTTCCTCTTCCTTGGACCAGGTGATGCTGTGAAGTGTGAGACTGAGTCACTATAAACCTCATTCACCCGAGACTCTCCTCCCCTCGTTGAAACAGAGCAAGGGTAGAGAAGGTTTTAATTTCTGCTGGGAACTGCATCTGCTGTGGCATGGGAAATGCCTTGTTTGGAGAGGACCACACACTCCCCTACACTCAATGAGATGGGATCTTTGGCCTGGGAAACATCTCCATTTATGAGGTTTCCAGAGAAGACCAAAGTTCTCACATGTGATATGCTCTGTATTTTAACAGTGACCCTGAAGGGCACTGCTTGTCCAGCCCGAGTTCCTCCAGCCTTGGTTATCACCTACACACTCCTCTCTGCTTGGCTTTCTAGGGGATATATGGACAGGAGACTTTGGAAAGGGGGCTGAAAAATCCCCCTTTGGGACTGTTTGGGATTGTTATTCAGTGTCGTTATTCACTGCCAAGGAGCCCCACTCAAACCAGACACCACTGTGCAAGTAATTACACCAATGGGAAACAGATGCCTCTGTCCTACAGATCACAGGGTTTGAAGCTGAATCATTGACGCCTTTACTTTTGCCTTTCCAGTGGGTACTGGCTGTCCCTCCTTTTAGAGTTTAGGACACTTCCATCCCACAAATCAAACTGACTGAATGCTCTCAGGTGCCTCAGCTGGCACCTCATCCGGGAGTTACACCATTCCTTGCCAACGCAAGGTCACACAGGATGATACAGGTGCCCGGCTGCTGAAGAGGGAACTCCTCTGAACTAAACATGCTTTTCAGGAAACAAGTGCTCCTGAGTTTCCAGCACACTTTATTATAGCAACAGATCTTTCTCCTTCATTCGATATTATGTGCAAAGCAAGAGGGACAAGATTGGGAATGGTTTCCAGCCAGAAGAGCCAGGTGGCAAGGCTGTCTCCTGAGCTCAACTGCCACCCCAAACAGAGAGAGTCATCCAAGAAAAGATCAGAGGCAATGTCACTACACTCTATAAATATCTGTGTGTGATGCAGCTATGACAGTAGAAAGATATATAAGCAAGGAGGCAATGCTCTAACGAGACCAAGGAGCAGACACCTGCACGAGGCCAGAGGTGCACATCGCTGCCAGCAGAGGAGTTCACCTGGGACTCAGGTGAAGATTTTATATAAAATTGCATCTCTCTGCACAAGACACTCTGCAGTCTCACTAGTTCTTACAAAAAGGACACCTAAAGAGATGTCTTGGAGCTGTGGCCTATGAATGCAGCTAAGGCAGACCATGGAAAGGACTGACAGCTCCTCCTCCCATTTCGTGAAATAATTACAGTCAAGTGCTTTGAGATATAAGAGGGTTTAAAAAAAACCCCAACGCAAACAAAACAGCTACCCCAAAATAAAAAAGTCCTGTCAACAGCCAGGGCAGAAGGCAAATCACCAATCTGCTCCTCATATTGTCCAATATCAGGTATGTTAAAAGACCAGCAAAGGAAAGCCAGTGATCTCTTGACACTGAATTGTCTGCTCACAGGAAAAATCCTTCCTAAATACCAGTTCCTGAGGGCACACAGCATAAACACCCTGAACACTCTGTCTAATAAAAGGATTTATATTCTCTCTACAGTCATTTTCAACACCTCTATTCTTTTGGCCCCTGAAGCACCACCTCTGGCATATTCTACAAGCTAAAAAACAGAAAAAGCATGTTCTGGTTTTCAAATTCATATCCTTCAATTTACACAACATCCCTTTCCTCCTGTAGGATTAGGGAGACCAAGTAAGATCATCCAAACTGCCCTCTACATATAATCCCAGAATTGTTTGGGTTGGAAGGGAATTTAAAGCTCATCTTATTCCACCCCCTGCTGTGGGCAGGGACACCTTCCACTAGACCAGGTTGCTCCAAGCTCCGTCCAACCTGGCCTTGAACACTTCAGGGATGGGGCAGCCACAGCTTCTCTGGGAAACCTGTGCCAGAGCCTCACCACCCTCACAGCCAAGAATTTCATCCTAATATCCCATCTAACCCTGCCCTCTGACAGTGGGAAGCCATACCCCCTTGGCCTGTCACTAAGACTTTGTAAACAGTCTCTCGCTATCTTTCCTGCAGGCTCCCTTCAGGTACTGGGAGGCCACAATTAGGTTACCCTGAAGCTTCTCTTCTCTGGCTGAACAATCCCAGTTTTCTCAGCCTTTCCTCAGACCAGAGGGGCTCCATCCCTCTCATCATTCTGTGGCCTCCTCTGGACTCACTCCAAAGAGTCCTTCCTTTTTGGAAGTCCTTCCTATCCTGAGACCCCAGAGCTGACTGAAGAATGTGTCCACGAGTCACCCCAGAAGCAGGGATTCCCAACTTCAGTTTCTTTTCCTAAAGATGCCTGCATGTACCTCTACCATGTCACTACACTTTTTACTGCTTTAAGAATGGGTGAAAAGAGCAGGCAAATATTTTTATTAAATACACTTTATAAATACATAAAAAGACAGCAACAGAGAAGCCTGAAAGAAACCTGCACTTTCTTTAGACCAGAATATCCATTTTTGTTTTCTAACCATCACAGCAGCCTCTCACCACAATTCTGTGTCTGCATCACTTGTCCCATGCCTTTGTTAGCTCCAAACCCAAATCTGTTCTGTGTCAAAGAGAACTGCTCAATGTTATCTGCCGTTCAGCATGTTGCTCATCTTGCTTTTCAAGTTCTCCCAGGCAAGCTCTCCAGATGCTCCTGGATTTAATTAAACTCATAATTGCTTTCTGAAAGTCTCCTTGCTGCACCATTCCACTCACTTGCTTTCCATAATTGTTATGATCCATTATTTAATTACAGGACAAAAAGACCCACTTAATTCAACCCCTTACCCTACATCTTAGACAACAACAACACAGTTTCCACACATCCTGGCTCAAGCCTTCACCACTTGTAGGGTTCCACAGGGAACAAGACTTTTATATGACTCTACCCTAACTCATCAGGGAAACTGGAAGTTGCCCTGACAGGGAAAGGTCAGTTTTGCTATTTGGCAAGTATTTATTCACCACTTCTTACAACAGAAGGGGCAGACAGTGGGGTTAACAGGCAAAACAAAATTGCCTTGCCACAGGCTTTGACAACCACAAACATAAACGGATTGGAAAAAGGATCGGCCAATTTGTGGAAATTGAATGTGCTGCAGATTTGAGTGTGGCAGCACAGAGTCCCTTTGCCAGGATTAGGCTCCCATGGATGGGAATTGGGGTGCAGCCCTGGCAGCACCAGTCTGACAAGTTCAAGGAGTTCAGGGCTCAGAGCATTGCAGAAATGGGCTGGATTTACCATACATCAGCCACAGAGTCGATTCAGTCAGAAGACATCAGGTGCACTGCCCAGGAGACCAAAATCACTCCATGCCTTCCTTAGCAGATGTAAGGAAAACTTCAGGGGATTTGGGGAACACTGGAGGTATTGCTTGCAGGATGGATGAACCCTCCTTTACGGTTAAACTGATTAAAGCTGCAATTCCAGCATAGTCAGGGGGAATATGCTCAAGTCAAGCTATAGGCAATCCAAACACCTTGAGATCTTCTTTATTAAATCCTCTCTCTGCCTGTAATCCACAGATTGGAGTCACTGGGCTCAGAGATTTTCCTGAGACTGCAGGTTGTGGACCCTGTATTGGCATTTGTTGGTGCTGAAGATGCCACTGTGTGCAGCCAGACCACAATTAGCTTGCACCCCACGATGCCAGCACAAAGGAACTTAATTTAGGCAGCTCCACTTTGGTGTTACCCAGTTTTAACACCTGACTTCCAAGCAGCCCTTTTTTATGTCTTTTGGTCCTGTGTTTATTTTTATGAATGCCTCACTCTTTGAGGCATCAATGTCTGACATGCTGGAAATGGATTATTTATAAACCATCAGCAGGGAAGAGGCACACTCGTTTGGAGACTGAACAGTGTTCCCAGTGCATTCAAAGCAATTTTGAGGCTTTTTTTGAAACACCTCACACAATCACCGACACCTTTGGCTCCACTGGCACATCGCCCTGTAGTTTTGTGTGAGCTACCCTCAGTCAGGCTCAGCTGACAGCATGTTTTTCATACCTTCTCCCCAGCGAACAAAGCCTTATTTCTACCCCAGACCCTCTGCCTGAGGCCATTCCTGACCCAGGAATGCTGTTCTCATTGCTGTTGGCCCCTATCTACATTGTAGAAATGCCTTTTTGGCAATAAGATAAGGCACTAGTATGGCCCCTTGCTCTGCGTCTGGTGCTGAGCAGCTTCACTACAATGAAGGCAGGAAGGTCAGTGCTGTTCCCTGAATTTAACTGGAGAGACAGACACTCATGTTTGTCAGGATTTCACAGGGAAGCCATCGACCAAGAACACATCAGGGTCTGCATCTTCCTCACCAACAGAAGTGGAGGGGCAGCACTGATCAATTTCTGGTGACCAGTGATAGGACCTGAGGAAACGGCTGGAGTTGTGTCTGGGGAGGTTTAGGTTGGATATTAGGAAAAGGTTCTTCCCCCAGAGGGTGACTGGGCACTGAACAGGCTCCCCAGGGCAGTGGTCATGGCCCCACAGCTGACAGAGCTCAAGGAGTGTTTGGGCAACGCTCCCAGGCACAGGATGGGATTGTTGGGGTGTCTGTGCAGGGCCAGGAGCTGGACTTGATCCTTGCAGGTCCCTTCCAGCCCAAGATATTGCACAATTCTATGATTCCAGGACTCCACACACCCACCCAGTTACATGTGATGCGCGACACCAACACCCCCTGCCCCAGCAACAACCGCGACACCCCCAGCTCTTTCCAGGGGGCAAGAGGGACTGGCCCGGGGCCCACCAGCCCCTCTGGAGAGCCCAAGCCATCACTTGGCTTTTCCCCCTTGGGAATGGTCCGTGGGGAGAATCCCCACAGGGCATGATGAGGCCCAGGTGGCCACACCACTTCCAGCTCGGTTTGGAGCCGGGCGTTGCTTTTCGGCCTGGGAGGTGTCCAGCCTGCCCTGCTGCCCCTCCGGGCAGCCCGGACCACCTCCGGCCCCCGCCCGCCCTCGGCGCTTCTCCCGCAGGCGCCGTCCCCGGTGTCACTCGCACCCACGGCAGCGGCCAGAGCGGGGACACCCCTGAGCAGCCCGTTCCCCCGGGCCGGCCGCTCTCACCTGTTCTGGGGCCGGATGCCCAGCAGGTAACTCCGCCGGTCCGGCCGCGAGGCCCAGGCCGCGCTCTCGGCCTCCTCGGCGCCATCGGCGTGGCCCGATCCCCGCTCGTAGAGCCCGGCGAGGGCCCGGCGGGTCGAGCCCATGGCGGCGGCCGGACTGAGGCTGCCCCTGCCCGCGGCTGCCCGCCCTGTCAGTCACCGCTGGCATTTATAGCGACCCTGCACATGCCGCTGTCAGTCGGGGTGTTGGGGACGTGACGCAGCGGCCACGGCCCGGCCTCTCTGGGCTGGCTGCCCGGCCTCTCCCTCTCCCCATGGCTGCGAGCTCCACTTCATCTTTTGGGGAAGAAGTCTACTTTTTTTTTATTATTTTTTTTTTTAATAATAACCTCCACCTCAATGAGGGGAATTTCTCACACTTCAAATGTCCCTTCTCTCTGGTGACCAGTGACAGGACCCGAGGGAATGGCTGGAGCTGTGTCAGGGGAGCATTAGGTTGGATCTCAGGAAAAGGTTCTTCCCCCAGAGGGTGGTCAGGCACTGAACAGGCTCTCCAGGGCAGTGATCACAGCTCCACGGCTTCCAGAGATCAAGGAGCATTTGGACAATGCTTCCAGGCACAGGGTGGGATTGTTGGGGTGTCCTGTGCAGGGCCAGGAGCTGGACTTGAGCCCTGCGTGTCCCTTCCAGCTCAGGATATTCCATGGTTCTATGATCTCTCAGGATCAGCTACAACCTCCACTGATTTCTTGTAGGCACGAGGCTCCCACCCTCGCTGGTGGCACCACTCAGCAGTCACGTCCTCACACTGGGGTCTTATGCCTTGGCAATCTGCTCTTTATCCCAGAATGCTCAGGAGACGGTCTGTGATGGTATTTATAGTCTCCATGGAAAAGACAGCACAAAACAGGGCTATAAAAGGTGGATACGTGTCACAAACTATTACCAGCAGTGATTTAATACCAAATGAAAACATAATGAGTAGTAAAATTGGATTTATTCTTTTTCTGCCTTCCTCTTGCCTGTCAAGCTGCTGCATCACGCGCCACAAGCACATCACTGGTGGCATCGCATCCCTCCAGCCCTGGAATGATGGATAGAGCAGATTCACTGTGGATCACTGCCTGCCCACAGCTGCACAGCAGTGACTGCTGCAGGAGCAGGGAGATGATGGCAATTGCTCCAGACTGTGAAAGAGAACAGGATTTGAGCTGATCCTCCTGGGGCAGGAGAGGCAGCAGATGCAACAACAATCGGGGGCATGTGATGGATCACCTGGAGCAGGACACTCCTGATTCCTTTTCCCCAGCTAACACTGTGATTTGGAGGGTGACTTTGAATAGGCACTGGCACAAGGGTGGTCACGGACACAGACAGTGTGTGCATCACCCATACAGGTGATCACAGGGTGCACTATGGTGGCAGGTGATCACATTATTAGGCATGTAAATGGCTGAATACCAGAGAAGATACTTAATCTTGGCAAAGGCAAAGGAGATGGATGGACCTCCTAAGACGTTTGGATGTGGTCCTAAGACATATAAGGAAAGGTGGTCCCAGAGGGCTGACTGAAGACTTCGTCTTCTCCAGGCAGTGAAATAGCAGATGAAATTGCATAAAACAAACATAACATGATCCATTGGGGAAACCACAATAGTCATTTTAGATAGGCAGCAGTGGGCTCTGTGTTGGCTAATGCCACTTAGGAATAATCCATCTCTAACAGAGTACAGTAGACCCAAAAAAACCCCCAAACCTAAACCACAGAGAAGGTCAGCAAGGATGAGCCAAGGTCCAGCCTGGCTGCTGCATGAAGAATAACTACATAGACTGTGACTCTTCAGCCTGGGAGAATGAACTGAGGTGCCATGACTGAGGCATACACAGCTGTGAGGGACGAGGAGAACAAGACCAGGGGCATCGAGTGAAATTAGCAGGAGGTAAAGTCAGTAAAAGGGAGATGCTTCCTCCCTCCTCTTGGCATTAAGCTGCTCCCACACACAGCTGTGGCTGCTCAGTAGGGGTTAATAAAATCCACAGGACAAATGTGTCCTGTGCTGCTAAAATCTCCTGAGGTTTATGCAGGATGAAGACACTACCTTTGGCTCAAGAAGCGTTTGAGCGACATAAGAATATTCAGTGTGCATGCCCTGATCTCACACCCTTCACTGCGCCCTGGCTGCTGCCCAAATGTGGGAGGGAGGATGCTGGGCTGGGAGGATGCAATGTAGCATTCTCCTGCTCCCATCCCTTTCTCTGGAAGGAGGAGGAGGACTTTCAGGTCCCACAGCTTCAGGAAACCTGAATTCAAGCCCCAGCATATGAATTAGACATTATTTCACCATGAGCCCAATCTCTTGGCATGTTGATCTGATAGAACAGAGCCCAGCCCACCTGAGAAGGGTGTCCAGAACAGGTAGGTCTCTGCTTTGGGCCTGGAACTATGTCTGGTTGCAGAGTCCCAAATACAGGAAAGCCACTGATTTACTGGAATGAGTCCAGTGAAGGCCACCAAAAAGATTGAGGGAGTTCAGGCACCTGACATAGGAGGAGAGGGTGAGAGAAGCTGGGTTTCAGGCTTCAGGGGAGAGCTAAACAGAGACCTCCTCGTTTCCTTCACTACCTCACAGGAAGGTACAGACTCAGAGATGCAGAGTGATGGACTGAGAGGCCAAAATGCAAGTGGCAAGGAGGACGGTTCCAATTAGATCTTAGGAAAATTAGTTGGCCTGTGACAGAGATCAAACAGTACCACAGGGTCCCAGAGAAATGGGCAATCTCCATCCTGTGAGACAGTGGAGGGGACAAGGTGCTGAGCAGATGATTGACGTCCTTGGAGTGGGGTCCCTTCCCACCCTGGTTACAACATGGTTCAGTGCCTCACCCCAGCAGTGGAGGGAAACCTGGATGGTGAGCGCAGGTTTAGCTCAGATGTGAGGAGACAAAGCCTGCTGTGGTGTTTGATCCTCCCCCCAGACGCACGGGGGTTGTATTCTTTTCTGCCCTTTCAGGCTCTGAATGGTTCTTGTGCCTATCCCTGCTGGGACAGCTTCCTCTCACATCTGCTCTCCCGTCATTCTGCTCACAGAGAGTGACAGTGCCCTCTGCTCCCGTCTCACTTTGGAAACATGTTTAGCTGCTGAAGCCTAAGCCAGCCAGCCACAAGGATTCAGTCCTTGTTAGCAAAGCTTTCCTCCTCTGCCTGCAAATCCAGCACTGACTCACAGCACGTCGCAGATGTTTTCTCACTCCTCTCACACAATTTATCCTTCCCTTTCCCACCCTGCGCCCATAAGTTCCTCCCTTTCTAAAATCACAGGCTTCTTCCTGCACTCTGACAACAAGCTCTCACCCCTGGTTCTTCCCCAGATATTCACATAGACCATGCCAGGGCAGGGCTCTGATAGAGGACAAATATGACAGACTTTTTGAGCAGGTATTTGGAGAAGGATTCTCTCTCTGAAGCCTGGAGAAACAGTCTACAGGGAATGCAGCAACCTCCAGCTGTTTTGAAGAGATGCTGCATCAACCAGAATTGTCATCTTTAGCTCTAGGAAAGTGCTGGGGTTAATTTAATGATCATTTTTATTAGCTGCCTGTGCTGCATGGATAATAACTCTGCAGCACAGGCGTGGCACGGAGCTGCTGGCACATATTCAGCCAGAACCTTCATTTGCAATCATTCATAGGTTTTAAACCTGCAAGTGTATATTTCCAAATGCCTGGCTGGACCCCTAAGAAATCAGGAAAAAGGAGGGTCCGTGTGATCTCAGACAGCTGGGGAGATGAGCTAGGCATCACCTTTTCTGTATCCATGAAAGGAAAAGACCAGTCCTGGTTGAAGCAGGGGTTACTCAGGATCACATTGGATGGACAGGGTGTAGCAGGTTTTCTTGCTTTTGCAGCATAACTGTTCCATCCTGCACAGAGGAAAGGACATGGAGAGAGAAAATCCTTCCTGCATTTACCAGTTGTGTTGGGTTGGCTTTTTCCTACCACCTTCTTCCCCATCCATTCTAAGAGAAAAGCAGCAGGGAGAGGGACATCCTTCAGCCTTGCTTAGTCCCTCGGACCCTTGCATGGCCCAGCCACATGGCCCTGCCCTGTGGAGGTGATCCATGACCACTCTCAGCCACAACTGCTTCTCTCTGCCATCCTGATGATCTGTTTGTGCCCTTCCATGCTGCCACTTAGGAGAGACATCCCTGATGGCCTTGCTTTTCCTTGGTCAGCCCATAAGCACTGTTACAGCCCCAGGGGAGAGAAATTGCAGCAGAAAAGTGAGAGCCCCTCACAACCTCTTCTCTAGCTGGTCCATGATCCCCCCTCATGCTCAGAAGTCCTGGTCCCCATCACTCCTGGCTCTGTGGGGACCTGCTTCCTAGGACTGTTGGGGAGAAGCCAGCCTGGTGGGAATTTCTCTGCCCTGGGAGTAGGAATCTTGTCACCCCAAGTCCTGAGCCCAGACCTCCTTCATCCTCCTAGGCTTTGTGTCAGTCTCGCTGCCTGGTCACTGCAAAGGTCTTTGGGAATGACAATCAATCACTCCCTGGCCACCCTCTGTCCTCTCCATCCACCATTTCCAGCTCATTTCCTTGTAGTCTTGCTGCCTCTTGAAAGGTGAAGATTTCTGGGTTAACAAGTCTGACCTTGCCCTAACCTTGTAAGTGCAAGTCACGGCACAGCGCTGGAGTCCTGACGCTCCACTGTGTCCCTTCCCTCCCAGAGGGGCTTGTGCAACCTCTGGTGCTGCCGGCACCACTTCCCCTGGGGCCCTCGTGATGCCTGGCCCAGCTGGCTGGGACTTCTTGGAGGAGGAGGCAGGTTCTATGTGCCCACCCACAAAGCAGCACTGGGCCCAACATGAGCCTTTCTGTCTGTGGCTCCCGGGAGAGAGGTGAGAGTGGCTGTGGGGTGTGAGGGTGGTGGGCTGGGTGGGAGTGGGGAGGGGGTGAGAGTGGCTGTGGGGATGAGAGCAAGGGTGGTCATGGGAACAGGGGCAAGAACACCTGTGGGGATGAGGCAAGGACATCTGTGGGGAAGGACTAAGGACACCGTTGGGGATGGGGGTGAGGACAGCTGTGGGGATGGGGGTGAGGTCACCTGTGGGGAAAGGACAAGGACGCCTGTGGGGAAGGCGTTGAGGACACTGGTGGGGAGGGAGGTAAGGACACCCGTGGGGATATGGGTGAATACACCTGTAAGGGGGGAAGAGCACTGTGGGGAGGAGGGGAGGACACTCTTGGGGAGAGGGGCAAGGTCACCAGTGGGGATATCCACACCTGTAAGGAGTGGAGGGGGCACCATGGGGAGGAGGGAGGAAACCCATGGGTAAGGAGTTGAGGTCACCAGTGAGGATAGGGGCAAGGACACCTGTGGGGATGAGGTAACTGGTGGGGTTGAAAACACTCGTGTAGAGGGGGCTGAGGACAGCCGTGGGGATATGGACAAGTACACCTGTAAGGGGGACACCTGTGGGAATGAGAGGAAGGTCAACAGTGGTGGTGGAGATGAGGTCACCTCTAAGGAGTGTGCGAGAGGGGCACCGCGGGAAGGAGAGGAGGACACCCATAGGGAGCGGATATGTTCAAATACACCTGTAATGCGGCGGGGAGGGAGAGAGGTCACTCGTGGGCAGGGTGGTGCGGGAGCCTTGGCACCCGAGCGAGAGGCGCGTCCCCGGCGACCCCGCGCGGGGCCGGGCCGTGTCGTGCCGGGCCGTGCGGGGCCGGTCCCTGCGGAGCCGCCGCAGCCCCGCCGTGTCGCGGCGCCGCCTCCGCGGGGCGGGCCGGGAGCGCGGAAGTTCGGGGGCCGCGGGGCCGCGGCGGCGGAGTGCGGGCCTCGGCCCGGCGCCGCAGCCCCGAGCCCGCCATGGGCCGCCGCGCCGGGTGAGCGGCCGCTCGGCCCGGCCCGAGCCGCCCCCAGCGCCGCCGACCCCTCGCCGCAGGTGCCGCCGCCGCGTCCCGGGGAGAGGAGCCGTCGCGGGTCCGGCCGGCGGCCGCCCAGGCCAGGAAGGAGCCGCCGGAGAAGCGATGCAGGAAGGTGAGCGGCCACGGGGCGGTGGGAAGAGTGACCGTGCGACCCCTGTGGCACTTGGGAGAGCACCCAGAAGAGCCTCGTGGCATCCTCGTGGCACCCATCCACCCACCCATCCGTCCTTTCGTCCATTCCCTCTGCACAGAGCATCCCTGTTCCTCCAAACTTCCCTTCCTGCTAGGATGGATGCCACTCTTGTAGCCCAGCGAGCCCTGGGCTGTGCTTACTGCATTGT